ACTGTAAAATTAATTTACCTGCCTGTAGCAGTTAGACATTCTGAGAGTTTTGTGCAGGTACATGGCTTCAGTAAAAGCTATTGTTCGTTTACAAAGCTGGTCTTGCCATTTGTTGGCGCTCCCTTAGCGCTTTTCTCTGCACTTGCAGTGAACTGGATGATTCAATGGATTTATCTGCATTAAAAAAGCACATTGGATTTGAACAATTGATGTAAATGGTCATTTTGGCATAATTAATTTTGTTTAACAAAGTAGTTTTTGTGAGATATTGACCGCGGAGGTCCGAATCTGACGCTAACTTTCCCAAACTTCTGATGTGATGATGCTGCGGACAGGGCACACGCATGGATCTATTTTGGCTCACGCTGGGGCTTCGAGCCTACGGCCCTTTGACACTGATTGGCTTTTTGATTGCTGTGTGTGTATTTACCTCTGCTGGGGCCGCTGTGACAACAATACAGAGACAGAAACACAGTGTGAATGCCGTGCTGTTGTCCGCTGTTTCCAATATAGAAATGAAATTTGTCTAGTGCTGATATTCTTTATTGGTACTGTCAATACCTGTCACAATATTCAATACATCAATTAATCGCATGATTAATGATGGCCGCGATAAATTCCATTTGCATGCTTGTTTGTTTTTCTTGTCTCTCTCTCACTCTGTCTCTCGAGTCAGAGAGCCGCAAAGTGGTCACGGGAACATTAGCAATCTAGCAAGCAGACTGAAATAACTCAAAAATACAAAAGACAGCCAAGACAGAACCTTAACCAGGATTAACAATGGGGGACACAGTAGTTGTGAACATATGCCAGTAGTGACTAAACTAGTGCAGCTAGTGTTAGCGTGTCGCCGATGCGTAGGTACCGTCCGTCCGTCCGTTTTCTTCCGCTTCATCCGTTGCCGGGTCGCGGGGGCAGCAGTCTAAGCAGAGACGCCCAGACTTCCCTATCCACACACACTTCCTCCAGCTTGTCCGGGGGGACCCCAAGGCGTTCCCAGGCCAGCTGAGAGACATAGTCCCTCCAGCGTGTCCTAGGTCGTCCCCGGGGCCTCCTCCCAGTGGGACGTGCCCGGAACACCTCCCCAGGGAGGCGTCCAGGAGGCATCCGTAACAGATGCCCGAACCACCTCAACTGGTTCCTCTCGACGTGGAGTAGCAGCGGCTCTACTCCGAGCTCCTCCCGTGTGACAGAGCTCCTCACCCTATCTCTAAGGGAGCGCCCAGCCACTCTGCGGAGGAAGCTCATTTCGACCGCTTGTATCCGCGATCTCGTTCTTTCGGTCACTACCCAAAGCTCATGACCATAGGTGAGGGAGGGAACGAAGATTGACCGGTAAATCGAGAGCTTTGCCTTTCGGCTCAGCTCCCTCTTTACCACAACGGTCCAATACAGCGACCGCATCACTGCGCACGCTGCACCGATCCGCCTGTCAATCTCACGCTCCATTCTTCCCTCACTCGTGAACAAGACCCGGAGATACTTGAACTCTTCCACTTGAGGAAGGACCTCTCCACCCACCTGTAGAGGGCAAGGCACCTTTTTCCGGTCGAGCACCATGGCCTCGGATTTGGAGGTGCTGATTCTCATCCCAGCCGCTTCACACTCGGCTGCAAACCGCCCCAGTGCATGTTGCAGGTCCTGGTTTGTTGGAGCCAACAGGACAACATCGTCCGCAAACAGCAGAGATGAAATCCTGTGGTCCCCGAACCGGACCCCTTCCGGCCCCTGGCTGCGCCTAGAAATTCTGTCCATGAATACAGTGAAGAGAACCTGTGACAAAGGGCAGCCCTGGCGTAGGCCAACATGCACCGAGAACAGGTCTGACTTACTGCCGGCAATGCGAACACAGCTCTGGCTCCGGTCATACAGGGACCGAACAGCCCTCAGCAGAGGACCCCGGACCCCGTACTCCCGGAGAACCCCCCAGAGGACACCCCGGGGAACACGGTCGAACGCCTTCTCCAAATCCACAAAGCACATGTGGACAGGTTGGGCGAACTCCCATGAACCCTCGAGTATCCGATGGAGAGTATAGAGCTAAGGTACCGTTTAATAATAAAATAAACGTATGTCGCGCTCCGTGAACAAATACTGCTGTTATATAAAGTTATGCTGTTAAATGAAATAATGGGATCCTAATTAAATAAATAAATCTTTTTTTTCCCCTGAAAGTCTGGGAAAGGTAGTCACCATAAAGCTGCCACACTCCCCTCTGCAAGCATATATTTACATATATATCTATGTGCTGATTCTGTTGAGCTCTTCTATCAATGAGTTCCAAAGCTTTGCTCTGTACAAATCAAACCATTTATTTTGACCATTTAATCCCTCCCATCTTCTTTGTTCTTGTTCTAACAGACCGTTTCTACGGTTGATTTGCATTCGCCCTATGCCTCCAACAGATGCTCTGGAGGACATCTACAGTTCAAACTATTTTATGAGCTATTCTATATCCAGGACTGTGGTTGTTTTCATGTGATGAAACAAACATAACCCCAATGTTCGTAGTATGCTGCTGAATTAGACATTTTGTGAATAGCAGCAGCATGAAAGGAGAGAGTTGAGAGGAAAACTCTGCTGAATACCAATGACCAAAAGGCTTGTGGAATACAGATGACACACACAGTTCTCGGCTCTAAGCTTTAGAAAGCAACGGAGGTCAGCCTTTCAATGTCAAGGTTATGATCAGTTCAATTGTGCTTCTCTGATCTGTAATGAAACTAAAGACTGAAGTGTACACCAGTTCTCAGTCATTGGGCTCTCGCTTGAAAGAATGAAGAAACACTATTGTATAGAGTCCTTTTTATTATTTTGCATTTAATTTGGTCCCAAAGTGTGCTTGTACTGTACTCTAGCCATGTAGGTCAGCATTCATCTTCAAGCTTAGCCACATTAACAAGGCCAACACTTAAATTATAATAATTTATTTTAATTGTAATTCGTTTAGCCTTTGGGTCATCAATTGGCAATCTTTTAAAAATGTCAAAGCTATGTTTACTTTCTAATTGTGAGGAGGAAGCATTAGTCTTTTTTTCATTGTGTAGCCTGCCCGCATGGCAGCTTTGAGCCTAATTAGTTCGAAGAAAACTTGTACTTTTTAGCCTCCTGTAGAATACAAATGTGTTTTGTTGAAAAGTCACCGGGGTCGTTCCAGCGACTCATTAAAACGGGCCGTAAAGAAAAAATTAATGGTGCCAAACACCTTCTATTTAATAGCTGTTTTCACACATAGTGAAGTACTAGAAACTTTAAGTCCCTATTTAGTCAATGGATCCGCTGTTCTTTGCAACCACTTAGTCCCCATTGTTTCTGTTCACACCGCAACAAAAAGATAAAACCGTGCAACTCCACCAAGAAGTGCAGTTTCATTGCTTTAAAAATGGTTCCAGATAATTATCAGTCATCTATTAAAAAAAATATAATTTGTTTCTTTTCCTTTTTTACTGAAAATAAGAAATCTCCCCAAACATTTGAGTTATGTTACTGACACTGAATAGCGTAAACTTAAGACTATAATGTTGCATATTTACCTACCTTCTTCACGACTCCCACTGATGTCGGCTCTCGTCGTGTCCTTGGGCAAGACACTTAACCCCACTTTGCCTGAAGCCCCCACTGAAAGATCTCCGCTCCTGTGGACTCACCACCTGCAGGAGGATCAGTGAGGGGCTGGTGCTATGTGTCTATGTGTACTGGGTGCAGCTCTTCATTTTGTTAAGGGAAAGTCTCCTGCCAGCACGGAGAGGTGCAATTCAGGATTTCTCCTCAAAATATAATGGGGTGATTGTTTTGATATTTACCTTACATCTCTAGAAACATTCATATATAAATCTACAAATTGATACATTTTGGTCGTGATCCGGATCACTTTTTTTTGACCGTCAGTGTTTCCTGTGACATTGTCTGGAATCAGAGAGGGGAATGTGTCTCTTGATGAAGGTCTGTGTTCAGCTTTGCTCTCGAACTGTCACAAACCTAGAAGAGCGTGCACTGGACTGGCTGGTCCGTCAGTGTGATAATCAAAGAATGTGATTGCTCATAAACTTGATACTAGGACTTACACAACACACCTAATACATTGTTTTCTTTCTACAAAATGTTGTTGTTTTTACTTAAATGAACATTTCTAAACTTTCTTAGGTGACTGATTGCCTGTAATCTCAAATGATAAATGCCTTTTTGTTATTCAGATACAGAGGTATTTTGGTAATTAACTATAATGCAAGCATTTGCATAAGCACTTTCTTTCATCCTTAAGCTATATTTGAAAGCAAGCCATTTCCTTTGACATTTTTCTTTAAAGTATAATAAACCACCGTCTGCCTTTTGCAGCTCCAGTCCTTCTTGAACATTGGCTGATTTATTGTGTCTTTTACAATCGACATTTTGTACCCTCTGAAATGTATTTTCATTTTTTCAGATTTTGTTTACCTTTCCTCAGCAAGTAGGACTTTCCATAAAAAGTTGATTTAAGTATTAAAGTCTTTGTCTCAAAATAGTACTGAACTAGACCAACATATAGTTTGCTTTGTTCCTAAAGCTGTAATTTCCCCACACTATCCACGTCTTAAAGGCTAAGGTTTGTATATTCCACTTACAAAAAATGTGCATTTACTTCTTATGTGTTAAAGTTGAAATAATGTCAGTGTGCACAAGAGACAACAAACCCTAAAAGACATAAAAAGCACATTAAGAGAATATAGGAAAACAATTGAAACTGAAACAAGGAGGTCTAAATACTAAAAGCAAGTGCTAGATCAAGGCAATTAAAAAATAATAGCTTGTGGGAAGAAACTGTTTGCATACCTAGATGTCCTGCATCTAAAGAAACGATACCTCCTCGCAGACGGAAGTTGCTGGACCGTGAAGGCCCCAGGGGCCAGAAGGATCACTGATCTTTACCTGAGCTGGATTTAAAAGTCTGGATTCAACATGACATGTTCTCTGATTAAAACCAAAACTCTGACTTTTCTCTCCTTCTATTCTCGTTTATACAGGGACTCCTGATGCTTCTGCAGAACCTTCCCACAATGCACTGGGGCAACGAGGAGGTGAGCGTCCTTCTGGCTGAAGCCTACAGGTTGAAGTTTGCCTTTGCGGACGCCCCCAACCACTACAAGAGATGATAGTCCTTTTGGAGCTGTTTACTCGGACTTGCACCTGTCTTATTGTTGATGTTGATAAGAGGCTTAAAGCACCGCCCCTTATTCAGCATTCTTTCTGCAATGGGCCTTTGAGATTTGAATCAACCAATGATAGCGAAGGACAAGTTTAGCATATTTTCTTTCATACATGAAATCAGCTTTGGTGTATAGACTTGAAGTGAATGTCAGCTACGCTAAAGCTGGCACCTCTTCGGTACGACCCCAGGCCTAATGCAGGACCGTGGCATGACATCGCCTGGGGAGTGTGTCACGCTCTGAGAAAATGCTCCTTCCATGGTCATGCATTGTTTTCCCCGTTCCCTCTGGAGGGGAAAGAGGAGCTTCAGAGGGACAAAACATGAAAGGGCAAAGCTCCAGATAGCTTACATATCTGAGCTCTCTCCTGGTGATCATCGAGGGCAACGCCAATGTGGAGCTACTTTCTTTTGTCATATTTTTACTGTGATTTAACATGTTTGCAATAACAAATGAAATGCCATGTCCCTTCAGACCACACTCCCAAACACCACTTGACCGTGCTTTTAAAGAGTCAAAATAAATGTTTTTTTTGTTTGTTTTTCTCACAGTCTGCACAATAGAAATGTAAAAACCAAAAGAGTTGAGGCCGCTTTCCTGTTACCAATTTTCTTTCTTTTATTATAATATGTTTACACATTATATTAATTCAAAAAATAATGATTTTGATAGAAGGAAAAATTCAATGATTAAGTGATTCATGTAATTGCTTGGCGCGTGCTATAATTAAGACACTAACAAAAGGCCGCCAAACCGTTGATTTAGTACGCCTCAAGAGGCTCAAATCATCTTCAAGTGCTTAATTTTCCAGAATAGCTTTTTCCCCAAATAAGTGTGTCTACGAGTAATAAAGTAATTGGTCTAAAAAGCAGTTAAAAATACAACATTTCCATTTTGCGTGATTCATATTCTTTGGAGAGAGATTGCTGCCTTAATTTTCCACAGAACAAGTTTTGTGTTCGTCTTGAAGCCCTCACTATCATGACCGTATGCTTCAGGTTCACTTTTTATTTGATGCATGCCAAAAGTCTTTTTTTTTATATCTTCAAGAGCATGTTCTTACCCACATCTCTCATCTCATTTCCAATATCCCCCTTTTCACTCTCCAAACATACTGCACCACCAAGGGTTTTCCAATCCCAGCCTTCACATTGCTTCTTTGAGGTCAGTATTGCATTATTTGCCTAATTGTTATAATTGTTATTGTCCACGATGTAGATGTATGTGGCATAACATGGTAACATTTTCAGATACATCATCCTTCTCATGCTTATTTTTGGAAACCTCAAATCAGTGGCGTCAGGCGTAGGTTTGGACTCGAGGCGAACGGTTCCTGCTCCTCTGATTTTCTCCAATACATTCATCTCTTTGATCTCGTTTCATTTAGTTTTGTTTTGTTCCCATGCACTCCAACAAGGCAAAACTGTGCTCACTGGATGCCTTTTTTCTCTTTTTTTGTACTTTCTGTACTTCAACATTTTATAGATATGTCGACTGTGTTCACTCTTGCTTAACGTTTTATATGTGACAAGTCTGTTAAGTTGTGCCTGACTTTTTTTTTTTCTTTTTGTGGGAGAGAAGTGCGTAAAGTTGAGGCTGGCTGTACGCAAACGGAGACTGCTCAGCCCTTTGAACAACTACAAGCACAGATATGAGTTTTATTCATTATGATCAAGGTTTTACTAAATGTTTCCGATTCTGTTTCAACCTAAACGATCTTCTGAACCGGGATGTGTTTTCTTTCTCTGCCAAAAATACTGATTCTGTGGTAATTGTGCTGTATTGACCCTTTATGAAGCTCAGCAGTCCCCCACCTTTAAACTCGCTCAGGTTTACATTTATTCTTCTTCCCAAAGACTTTTCAAATACTATTGAGATGAACAGATTATTATGTTCAACAATGTTCCCCAAAAAATCTAAATAAATCATTGCTTTTGTGGTTTAGGAACACTATCGTTTTTTGTTTACACTTTTTCACAGCAACCAGCAAATCTTTCAAAATCTTTTTTTAAATATAATTTTATTCATGCAATGTTTTAAAGGAGATCATCTGTACATCTGAGTGATATGGAATTTGATCAGATTTATGTCTGAAATTAAAAATAATGAAAATATATACTAATAATTTTATATAATTTAACTTCTAAACCCTGAGAGGCGTGTGGGACTAGCGGGCTCCATTGTACTAAACCTGAGACGACGTGTAATGCTGTCAATTGTCTCTATGTGAATACCGCCGTTCATATAGAGACGAGAGAGACGCTCGCTCTCCCAAAGCTGAGTTGCCTTATTGAACACATAATTATTACAGTGTCTCAAAGAGTAAGCAGACATGCCCAGATAGAGAAACAATTCCCGCTGCAGGCTGACAACTTCTGTATTAGCTGTCACTGTCTGCTCACATAGCTAAGTCATCTATCCAGACAGCCAATTGGCATCTCCGACATGTCTAAAACGAAATCATTCCTGCAAGATCCAAAATGGGTGTGTTGGTGTTGAAAATTTTATTGAGCTTGGCAGCCGCAGCCGCGACGAATCTTTTGATATATAAATGTTTCTCCAGTGTTGCCTCAGTGTGACATCAGTTCCAAACTATAATCTACGACACGTTTTGATATTTTGATTTTTGTTTTGTATGATGTGCTTTAATAAACAAGCAGAGAGCATTTATGAGAGCGAACCCTGTCTCTGCAACGTCATTCGTCTCCATGGCGATGAAGGCCTGAAAGCGTTTTGGCTGGAGCTCACTTTGCAGTTCTTTGAAATGTAAGCGGAAACATAAGCCAACAACTCCGGGAGGCTCACCCCCAGTAACATTTTCATCCACTTTATCTCATCCTTATTTTCATATTTTTTTTCCACAAACTTGAAAAATGAAAAGAATCTGTGCTTAGGTGGATGAGACAGGAAATCTTTGACTTTAAAAATGTACAGAGAAGATATTGAAATTGTAAATACAAAGTGTAAATAAAACCTATATGACAAAGTATCATTGCCTTTTTCTGCTTTGCTAATTCATCCTGAGAGACGTGTTTTGAATGGAGGTTTTTAGATTAGCATTAGCATTGGCCAACTGACACATGCACGTGGAGCTGATGGTGACTAAAATGTGTCAGTAATATTTGTCTTAATGTATGTTAATAACGATGTTTCCAAGACCCCTTTGGTCCCCTGTTGGCTTCTCAGGTTATTTCCACCTTATATGCCCAAGTTATTACTGTGCCCTAAGTGCTACCAATAAGTCCTTTAAAGTCTTAGTTGAAGTAATACTTTAAATCCTAAGAATATGAAAGTAGTTTGACAAACTTATTACACGCAAAGTGAGATAAATCAAGCCTTTATTTGTTGTGATGTTGTTAGTTGAATATCAATCAATCATTTTTATTTATAGTGCCCTTTACAACACTCAAGGCGACCTACATAAAATCCATTAAAACAATAAAATAGTTATTTTGAATAAAATATTCAGGCTCAATTAAATGAACATGGATATTTTCTAAATAGACTGTAAGCCATAATCATCCAAATGATAACAAACCAAGGCTTGATATTTGTCACGTGTTAATTTCACATTTGAAGATGAATTACAGAAAGAAAAAAAATGTAATTTTCTAAGTTTCGCTTGTAATGGACTACGGCAAGTTTATCATTAGGGCTGGGGCCCTAGGAGCCTGCCGATGCAACGCCTTTTGTATCATACAATACGTATCTACTGTAATAATAGGGGTCTTTCAATTTGATCAATGCCATCTATCCATTTCTTCCACTTTATCCATTGATGGGTTGCGTCATGGGATAGTCTGAGCAGAGATGTCCAGATGGTCCTATTCACACACACGTCCTCCAACTCATCCAGGGTAATCCTGTGGGACAAAACATTACCTTTATGTACTGGTGTATATACTGAATGTAAAGGTAAAGGTGCACTTTATTTATCCCTGTAGAGCCATTCATCCTCTGCTGGGGACCCATCTGCAGTTGTTGATGCTCAGCTTCGTCAGGAAGATTTGACCTAGGGGAAACATATGTTCATACATATACTGTACGTATGTATGACAGTATGTTATTAACATTGACAGTGTACTCATGTAAGCAAATGGCTAAAAGCAGTTAAGTGTTTTTGTGCCTACATTATCGCTTCAGTTGCTCTTTGTGTTCACGCATGACATGCCAAAGTTATCATTATGTTTAAAATATATATTTCTTTTATTTTACAAAAGGCTCCATATCTTAAATATAATAAGGTCTTGCCAGCTCGTTCCTCTCAGTCTACTTTTCTCTTGTGACGGCTTCAAACCCTCTCATTCTTCTCGATTATTAAACCACCATAATAGGTCCGGGCTTTGAAAATCATAGTGATATATACTGTAATTATCACACTCATCAGACCTACAGTATATGCTCCTGAATGTAGCACTAGTAAGAGCCCTAACAATGAGCTAATGGGTGGCCAACAGTTTTATTCAGCCAAACCTCACCACATACACACACACACACACACACACACACACACACACACACGGTCAGTCATTTTTGAAAGTGCACGTATACTCAGATATAAGTCGCAAACCATGGGCCTGGTCACAATTCTCTTTCCTAATCTTGGTTCCTAGATTACATCATTTTTCAGCTGGCAATCAGATCATGTCCTCTCCCCCATGCTGTCTTCTCAGTAGATGGAACTGTCTCACCTATTCCCTTCGGAAAAGTGCAAAAATGAAGAATGGTGAGAAAGAATTAATTAGTCCGAACTAAGGACTCTTCCTCCTTATTTATGTGTACCATATTCATATCCTAGCTGTCACAACAGCAATTGAATGCTCTAAATAATTGCTATTTAAAATATTATGGTGGTGTACTATATGAGGTAGTTATTGGATTTTGGATTATTTAGTGCAGGGTTCAGGAGCTCGATAATTACAGCAAAAGTTTATTTACAATTCCTG